TGGCGTGTGGGTCGGGTAAACGCCACCCTTCCGTCAACGGGGTGTGCGGGCTCGCGAGTGTTCGCGCATCTCTCTCTCTCTTTTCCTCTCTCTTCCCCTGTAGCCCGACATTAGTGTGTGCGCACGTGTACGGTCGCCTGTGCACGTGTGGGTGCGTGTACGCCGCGCAACCGCCCCCAGGGGTTTCCCTTCTTCGTTGGTCGTCGTGCAGTCGAGCAACCCCGTGCTGCTCGACAGCTCAGTTGCCCATCGCCGCGACGACGACACGGTTGCGCCACGACGACAGCCAGACGTCATCCGTGTACCGGGCCTGAATTCCAAATTTCGAGATCACATTTATCATCCGTCGCATTTCACCTTCGCTCGCTGCGGAACCGGATCACGAGGTGGCTGGACGCTGTTGAATCAGTGGTTGGTCGATCTGAAACCGGTGTCCACGCGTTCACCGATTCCCTAACGAGGATACACTCGAGTTGGCCGAGTCCGACGGAGTCTCTCATTCTCCTGTGAACGTGCGACCGAACGAGTTTCCGTGGTGTGAGGTATACCGGCGGAAGACAGTGAAACGGTATGATAGGAGGATCTAGCTAGTAGACGGATAGAGTTGGAACGTGATCAACGAAGAGAGAATCGGTAGCCCGAGGCAGCTCGACCAGTCCGGTGTCTTTCCGGCTGTAAGGAAGCAGCGAGGAAGACTCGGTTGTCCCTGAAATTCAATCCTCGCCGTGGAGAGGATGAAAGGAAAAGGTTCCAGGAATCTCCTTGCGCATCGCTGAGTCCGGGGGAGAGTTTTGTTTGGTGAATGAAGCCCGTCACGTGCTATCGGGAGGTCTGAATAGAATTCCCGGGCAGAGATAATGTTCTAATTGTCGTTGGGGGACGAGAGATCGCTAGTCGGGCAACTGTACGCGGCGCGCTGGCCGAGAAGCAAAGGAACGCCGGGAACCTGTACCTGATCACAACGAACAAACTAGCCGAGAATTCAACGAAGAAACTGGACCAGACGTGTGACGTTAGACGCGAATAGTTGATTAGACTAGCCGGGTGTTCCTTGTGCGTGAACGAAGGAAAACAGGGTGATTTCGAGTTGATCAACGAGACAGCAGCCGATCCACGCAGCAGCTCGCGTTGCCGTCGCTAGCCGACAGCCAGGTCTGGATCCCTCCGACTCGACGGAACCACAAGCTTCGCTCGTTACAACGAAGATTAATCGACAACACACCACAGTAAGCACTATACTAACCCTCGCCGATCGACGATCGTCCTCAATCGGTGCGTTCCCGATGATGGAGATCTATGAGAACACTTAGGACCGTCGGCCGGTCCATCGAGCACTATTCCCTGTCCTTCCGCGCGAAGTTCGTATATTTTTTCAAAGCAACCGGGCCAGTTCAATTCCGAGGAACGCCGCGAAACGGGCCTATGCTAGAATCCCAAGTCCAGAGAACCGGAACCCGTCACCGGACACTGAAAGTGTCGCCGCCGCAAACCGTCGGACACCGAGTTTAGCGTAATGCCAAGGCCTAGCCGTGCCGGGAGTTTCATTCTTTTCCGTTTACGCGCCCTCGACACTTGAATCGATCCTGAGGATCGTCGTCGTGCATCGAACACCCTGATCCATCAACGAATACGATATCTCGCTTGCCGTTCGGAATCGCTTCCCTGTAGCGTCGCGAACATAGTTCCTAAGAAAGGTAATCGGAAGAGGAGGCACGCGCAACGATTGGAAACTTGCTGATCGGCGTTCAACGATTGCACATTGCTGATCAGTCGATGAAATGAATTAGGGATTGGTCGACCTTCGGAGACGTGAACGAAACAATTAACGAGGTTCAGAGAACGGAGGATGTTATTCTGAACGAAGTAAGATCATCGAAGAAAGTACAAAGATGCCGCAGCGATCGCCGTTCGCGATCCAGGAGCTGCTGGGGCTAAACGGAGCCGGAAACGGAAGCGGCACCGATCGAGGCTCGCCTCAAGCCTCGCCGCCGGCCGGCGTCTCCGCGGTCTCGTACGCGCCAACGGCGCCCCATCACAAGCTATGGGACTACATGCCCAGCCTGACGAATCATCTGGGCAATCTGGGAAATCTTGGGAATCTGGGCAACCTCACGGCCTCGCGGATGGCCTACCTGAATGCGCAGGCGGCCGTCGCCGCTGCCTTCCTGCCGCCGCCCCATCCCCACCCTGCCCACCACGTACCTCATCATCAGGTACATCAACCGGGACAACTTCCGGCCTCGCCTGCCGGCGTCAACGTGCATCCGGCGGCACACGCGCAGCACGTACTTCCGGGCACCGCCGCCACCGCGAATCATCATCAGCACAGCCCGACTCAGCACACGCCGCCTCATGGTGAGTTTCATGGTTTGACGACTTAATTTCGCGGCTAATTGGGGAGGATCGTTTGATTTCTCGCGCGGTTCATGATACGCTTCGATAAGCTTCAGCTTAGAGTTTTCGCCCTGAATACGGTATGTTGATAATCTTGAGTAGACTCCGTTGCATTGGGGCTGTTTAGGGTAAACTGGTTGAGATTGATGTCTGAAGTTTCGTTGATGGTTTGGGAAATGTTGGGCACGTTGAACGGTGTTGTTGTTAGTAAGTTGTTTCATCAAAGTTTGAAGGAGATTGTAAGGTGGTTTATTTGTTTAATGTATATACGTCAAATGACGTGTTACTAAAACTTGCCAGAATATCGCTCAAGACGAATGGAGTAAATATTGCAATAATCTCAGTGTATCATATTTTAGATTAATGCACATTTCGTGATGGAGCAAAATATAAGAATTATTGCTTCATTGTGATCGAAAACGAATAATTACTGAGAATTAAAGTCAAAATAATTTGTACTCTTCTCTTCTCATTTCCGGTAAACCAGTTGAATATACTGGAAGGTATGCATTTACATATCGAGCGATGACAAACACAATTATTTATTACATACCAATTTTCGTATCACGACAATTAACTGAAAAATATGAAGATATTCTTTGAGTATTTCCAATACGATTCAGCCAGAAACTTCAGTACCCTGGTTTATGAAATCGACGTTTAACAAAAGGAATGGAATACGGTGCCAGCGGTTGTGGTCCTAGCGTGAAATAGAACTCACGTATACCCAGGGCGAATGTTTTTTGGCTGACGTTGTTTCCAGAGTTGGGATTGAGTTCAACACGCAGGGTGTGAAACCGAGAGAAGCGTTCAATCCTTTCCTTTCAATCCAAGGGCAATCCAAGTTCTTTTCAGGGCAGGCATTGAACACTTCCTGCTTGTGCCAGGCACTCCAACGGTACTTCGAAAATTTAGTTCCTTTAAACTTCTTTGGACATTGGTCTTGACAATTTTCCATACAAGAAAATTAAGAAAACAGAGCTTGTCTCTGAAAATACTGGATTGTTGAGAAAGTAATATCGGTTTCTTACGATACCAAAGAACGACCTCATACCTTTCCATGAAAATGCCATTAAGAAGCTTTTTAAATGACACAATTGAGTCACGGCAAACAATGGGCAATATATAATTGATTAAATGGAATAATAACGCTGGAGTAAATTGAGTTAGGTACATCCATAAAGCTGGCATTATTCTTTACTAATTCTGTTATTATTCTCTTCGAAACATATTTATATTATTGGTTGTTTGTATGTTCTTGAAGATTGATATTACTATAATTATTACCGTTTTGAATCAAATGTTCTGAAATAGAAGAATATTTAAGTCACAGCGTGTATTGTATATTCTCCTCGTTATTATTAATATCTGTTAACGCGTTCTTAATAATTCTATTTACTTATAAGGAATGCTTAATTAAGAGCTCAATATAATAATTATAATGTATAGGCAATACGAGCAGTAACATATACGATCAATAACCAATACAAGATCGTAAGAATTCAGCTCTCAGTGCCGCCATTAATTACCATTATAATGAACCTAATCAATCAATCGTATTCAATACTAAAACAGAAATCACAATACAGTATATCGTGTAGTAACAAGAATAACGTTCCTCAATTCATTTTCAATTAACGTTTTATTAACGTTCAGCTAGGAAGAAAAAAGCCGGCCGGCGAAACGTTTCTGTCGCGAACTTTCCCACTGCTTCTTTTCCAGCGAATGGCGTCGTATCGCTCAGCCACCGTCACCGCCGCCGCCGCGTCATTATCATTAAACCTCGCCCCGCTTATTTATAGATGACGATTAAGATGACATTGTTTCCAGCGTGACGTCGTTTCACTCGCGAGGCTTGGCCAGCCCCATTGTGCCGCGACAATTAGAAACCGTAACCATTTATTCCGCGAACGGAGCCTCCTAACTGTTTCTTTCAGCGGGCCCCGCCGGGCCGAAGAAGAATTAATAATTAATTTTACACAAACCGCGGCCGGTATTGTCGTCGAGTAACGAGCAACCACTTCTTTCAATCTTACACGTTCGTTAAGACCTACATCTTGGCTCGCGGGCTCGTGGTCGTGTTCGTTCGGCCGCGCGCGCGCACGCGTGCTGCTCGAAGAAAACGGACCTGTTTACGGGGGAACAAGGATCGCCGGGGTCTGGCGAGTCGTTAACCTCGCGCATCTAGACGGCGAAATTTACAATAAAAGTGACCTGATCTTTTCAAACGGCCAGTCTTAGCCCCCCTCCCTCTGCACGCCACTCCCGCGACTCCTTTTTAGAACTCCTTTACCAGCGCGACTCGCGACCAGTCGCGAAGAAAGCTTGAGAGAAACCAATTAAATTGTGCACTGCCCGAGGAAAGTTTGGGAGCGGTTCTTCGGCTGTAAGGGAAGAACAGGTGTTCTGTGTTTTGTTTTCAATACGTTTGTAATGGCAGTGGTGTTCATTGTTGTATGATACTTGTGTGTTCTGGCATAAATGGTAGGAATTTTTGATTTTTGATTTTTGGAAGATCGAAGATGTATTTTGTAATGAAAATTGAAAGTTTTGCAGAGTTTGGGTTATTATTGGTTATGTGTTTCCGTTGTAACTTATTCTACATGGATGTATGCTTTTAATTTGGAGTTGTTTTTATGTTTACCATGTAAATTTCGTATAACAAGGGTGATAAATATTAATTGTTGGGATTATTTCGCAATTATTGGTAGAAATACTACTACCAATTGATCTACTATTGTGGATACTCATATAGAAAGTAATACACTATGAATCTCAATTTCATCGAGTTAAAGATGTAATTAAAGAAGTACCACATAACTTGAAATAATGAACATCATTACTTCCCAGTAATAGAATTCTTCTTAATCAAGATGCAGGCCTACAAGCAGATAAAAGTATTCAAAGAAAGATCCATTAAAAGATATCAATACCCCTTCAATACAATAATATATTTCCGTAAAATTCTGAAAATCACGTAACATCTAAAGACTCCGTCAGTTCCTCACCAGCATCAGCTCTTCCCACATTCATGGCGGTTGTCAGCGAATAGGGCTCGCGGCGCGATGCGCCGCAACAACGCATTGATCGTCAATCGCCGGGATAGCGTTTCAATCTTCCGACTCGTCCGGATGAACGAGACCCTCGGCATCGGAGAAACGACGAAGTAAATTAATAGGCGTATCGTCGTTCCAGCGTGAAACGAGCACTTAACGTGCCACTTACGGCTATCGCTTAACAGAGAGCCACTCAAGATCGTGTTACCGAAAATCGACGGGCACGCACACCTTTGTCGCGCATGGTGCACGCGCGAATACCTCATTGTACACGGGAGGGAGTTTGATTTTTGGGGCCGTTCGTAGGGAAAACGCGGGCCAGACGCCAGCTGACCCTGCCCCACGTGGAAACCAATTTCCGAGCAAACGAACACGACCGTCTGTTTGCCACCGACCCATTGTAATGCTGTTTTCACATGACGATACATTTATGATGAGCACTGAATAGATTTGTAAGTTAATGGAAGCTTCCGAATGAAGATTCTTGGGTAATATTGTATTGCAATACTGATTTTGTGTACAAGAACCTTGGTCGTTTGCGACGTGGTATGTAGTTTGCAAATATAGCACTGAATCGAACCGAATCAAATTTTCATGTGAACGACACGACATAAACGCAGTACGTTTCGGAATACAATTATATGTTGGACTATGTCTTAGACATAATACTTTGACATATTTTAATACAATCACCCTGGTATTTAGAAATTAAAATGATAACTCTTTGAAAGAAGAGGAGGTAGATCTGATGTTTGTATCTGAAATCATTACAGTAACTGCGATAATAGAATGCTCATTGCGTAATATTGACAAGAAAAATAAAACAAATTGTCTCGTCACTTATCGCATGAACTTAGAGTAATTGATACAAACGAAATTATTTTATTCCTAAGCGTGCATTTCATGCGTGTATCGCGCGTCCGTAGTTCGTGACGCGTGTACCAGGGACACTGCGAAACAGGGATCAGAGAGTTCGGTTATCGGAATCGCGGATCGCGAACGAAGACGACGAAGGCAGACAATCGACTGGACCGAGCGATTCGCGTCCGGCGTGTCAGCGTCAGTTAGATGAGACGGAGAGAGGAAGAACGAGGGAAAGAAAGAGGGTAGCCAAGGTACCTGAGATGACTGCACTGTGGGAATTGAATATTTTTGTCAGAATAATCCCCAACGTTATGAATAATTAGTGGTATAATGAGTTGAGTGTTGGGCAGACCTGCAATGTCTCACCAAAACACAAAGAGCCTCGACAAAACGTAAAAATGGCCGCACTCCGGCAAACTGTTCTCAACCGGCACCGAGCTACCCTGTTGCTACTCGTCTCGTGAGAATTTGATTCGTTAAACGTTACCTTCGATTTTATAAATAATTCAAAATAAACATCAATAATTCTGCGAAATACTACTATAGACAGATATAAATTGAGCTTAACTTCTTCCGCAATATCTACAGAAAATATTGAAAATCGTTACTGCTTAGAAAAACCACCCCTTTTATACTTAATACAAGAAAACAATGGACTTGTTGTTTAAAATCGACCGGAATAGGTGACAGTTGTCTAACAATGTTACCAGTTTTCAATAACATCGATCAATATTTAATATCTCCATGTTGAATATTACATACTCGACGTAAGGGGTGAAAATTGTAACACAGAATTCTCGGCGATCACCGTCACAATGGGGTCATTGGAATCGATTTTTTCGGTGAAGTGACGAATCAACATGGCAGTATCGCGATCGTGGCCGTGGCCTCCGTTCGGTAGAACGAATTTTGAGAACAATTTTCGGGTGTCGGGTTCCCGGTGCAGCACAAAGGATCTGCCCTTCCATTCAAATGTCACTCTGGCACCTCGTCTTACAGTACAGCATTTATTTGGCGCACTTCATTCGTTCCTTTTTGTCT